TCGAATGTCCACATTTGGAACCAAACAAAAGAACAAACGGCAGTCAAGTGACGATTTTTGACTCCAACATTCTTTAGTCACTATACTATAGCGTTTTGAATTTAACAAATTAAATTCATAATGCTTAGTTTGTGTCTTCGAATAAAGAGAAATGTTCAACAGTACACCCTCCCTTCTCACTCTGCTCCACTTTCACTTTTTTTTTTTAACTAAGCTTGCGGCCGGAAACAAATGTCACTTTTATTATTATAATTTTTTTTTGTCATGTCGCGGTCTGCTGAAAAATGGATGGCGGGCCGCAAATAGCCTATGGGCCATAGTTTGGAGACCCTGATGTATAGCTTGTAAAACAACTTAAAAAAAGGAGAAGAATAAAACGTTGAGACCGTCTCAGTTTTCCTTCGACAGTGGTGCCTTGAGAGTTTCATTTGTATCGTGAGCACACTCCGAACTCAAAACCGTCATATTTGAAATCATCTCTTTTCTTTGAAGACATAAGATGGCGGGGCTTTTGACGTCCTTGGTCGGGACGGGGCAAAATTGACACAAAAACAGGCCGAATGTCAGCCTGACATACAAAAGGACGACATGCTTGCGGCGACCTCTAACGGCCAAAGACTGGAAGGACCAGACAAGACAGATAAGGAAAGATTCAGAGCAGTGCGTGGAGGGTCGTAAATCTTGAAAACAAATCTAAATGCGGCAGCAGGGTGATGGAATACAATTGAAAAAAAAAAAACGGTGTTGACGAATTTGGCAAAAATTAATCGAGGTCAACTTACCATGAAAAGGCCGGACGGGGTGAGCTCTCCAAAGATTTTGCCAGAGGAACAAAGTTTACCAGTTTACCAAGAGATCAAAAACATGGCGAGCAATTGACTCATGAGACAGTTTTGGTGGGGAAAATGTTCACAGAAAGCATAAAAAAAACTCGATGGCAGAAATGTGTGGCATTCCTTTTTACGGAAGAGTATTGGGGCCAATAAAGAATGTAAAAAAACAAAGTTGGCAAGATTCTAAATATATCTCAGAACTCACCTTAAAATCAGAATGACAAAGGTCAAAGTTCTGACTTGAAGGTGACAATTCATGGAATAAAATCCGAAATCTGAAAGAAAATGAGGATCTTGCCAACCTTGTTTATTTTTTATTTCTTTTTCGTTGGCCCGAATCCTCTTCCGTATTTTCCCGTCTCGTTTTCTTTTTCACATCCAAGACATCGCCAGGCCTTCCGTTCTGTCTCCCCCTGCTGGTCATCGTTTAGTTTGCGTTCCTCGGGATGGATTGGAAGGTGAATTCCTTGTGTGTTTGACAAACTGAGCCAATAAATAAAATTCTGATTTTACATTTAGGTGTAACATTTGAAATTGGGACTTCCTTTCGAAAGTTAATCGTTGTAAATGTGTATTTTTTTTTAATTAAAAACATTCCAACCCCAGCAGTTTACCATGAAACCCTTTAAGCAAAATATGACAAAATGTGGTCCTCTTCATTTTTGGGCCAGAGGATGGCATTCGCTCCTTCAGGCAGAGGACGCGAAATTGATGTGCACGTGCACATTGATATTATTGCCAATAATTAATGATGTAATGTCATTATTCATTCATTCTTTTTTTGGTGGGGGTGGGTGGGGGTGATGTGCTCCCTCTTCAATTCATTTATGTGCAGACACTGATCATATTCATGATTCCTCACTATCAGGAAACAGCAATGAAATTTCACCTCTGGCTCCAATTTGGCTGCAACTAACAATCATTTGAAAAACCCACAAGCCTGTCAATTCTGTTTTGCTTAATCAGTGAATTGGATCAAAGAAAACAAATGGTTGGGAGAAAACAGGACATTATTTCAAACCGATATTGCCCAATATGCACAAAAATGAACGAATGATGATTCCTTTGCAGGTTTGGTCCGTAACGTCCTCCAGAAAATCATCCGCGGATATAGAGTATATGTTCAAGTGTTGGATGCTGTCACAGTTATTGCGAGTGCTAAGTTAGCATGCTGCCCTCATGTCCCAAATGCGAAGTGCAGAGTTCCTTGGATCGAAAGCTTCAAGTCTTGAGGCAAGACTTTATCGGGCCCTTCACCGATCCGGGTCTGCTGGCGGCGAGCGAGCGGCAAGAGAGCCGTTAGCTAGCGGCTAGCCGGCGGCGAGCGGGCCGCGAGATCGCCGTTAGCCGGCGGCTCGGTGCTGCTGTGCGTCACAGCTAGCTATTGCTCAATAAAAATAAAAAAAAAATAAAAACACCCTTACCTCTTGTGGAGTCGTTGGAGACAATTTACCAAAGAATCTGAATGGTTGGAAAGCACAAAAGTAAAAAAATCACTTTTATGACTTGGATGACAAAATTCTTTTCAACAGCTCCAGGAAATGAATGGGAAGGTCGACTGCATCATTTGGACATTTCTTTGATGGAAATGTCTTTTGGGCAAGGCAGCTTTAGTCTCCAGCTAACTCGATGTGCTCAACTTGCTTCGACTCGCAACTTCAAAACAAAGTACAGGAAAAAAAATAAAAATAAACGATACACTCATTGTTGGATTTTGGTGCAGCATCGCAACTCGATGCTGCTTCACCGCCTATGCTTTGAACTCTGGCCTCCAATATCTGACCTGAGCCTGCAGATCTTTTTTTTTTTTTGTCCCCCGCCCCGTAAGCATTTCTTACGCGTAATCTGGACCGAAACTTTTCCCTGTGCTCAAGTTTTTTGTTTCCCCCCCCATCCCCCAGGTGACTCTGGTTTCTCCTGGCGTTCCAAAAATGTGCATAAAAGCTCAGAACTGCCCTTGGGCGTAAATCACGGGTCTTAAACTCCGGTCCTGGAGGGCCGCTGTCCTGCATGTTTTCCAAGTCTCCCTGTTGCAACACACCTGATTCACATGATCAGATCATCAGCAAGGTCTGCGGAAGACTGATATTGAACCTGTTCATTTGATTCAGGTGTGTTGCAACAGGGAGACTTGGAAAACATGCAGGACAGCGGCCCTCCAGGACCGGAGTTTAAGACCCGTGATTTACGCCCAAGGGCAGTTCTGAGCTTTTATGCACATTTTTGGAACGCCAGGAGAAACCAGAGTCACCTGGGGGATGGGGGGGGAAACAAAAAACTTGAGCACAGGGAAAAGTTTCGGTCCAGATTACGCGTAAGAAATGCTTACGGGGCGGGGGACAAAAAAAAAAAAAGATCTGCAGGCTCAGGTCACATATTGGAGGCCAGAGTTCAAAGCAAAGGCGGTGAAGCAGCATCGAGTTGCGATGCTGCACCAAAATCCAACAATGAGTGAAGTCAGCCCCAGGTGGGAAGGATTCCAAACGCAAGCTCAAAGTATCGTTTTTTTTTTTCCTGTACTTTGCGAGTCAAAGCAAGTTGAGCACATCGAGTTAGCTGGAGACTAAAGCTGCCTTGCCCAAAAGTCGTTTGCATCAAAGAAATGCAAATGTGCACAGTTGACCTTCCCATTCATTTCCTGGAGCTGTTGAAAAGAATTTTGTCATCCAAGTCATAAAAGTGATTTTTTTACTTTTGTGCTTTCCAACCATTCAGATTCTTTGGTAAATTGTCTCCAACGACTCCACAAGAGGTAAGGGTGTTTTTATTTTTTTTTTATTTTTATTTTTTTGCTATCTGGCCTGAAATAGTTTGCGCGTCCAAAGTTGGTTCGCATCGCCGGCTCACGTCTGAAGAAAAACGAGTTTGGCACTCGGTTGGCAGGCGCCGACCTGATCGCGCCTCGCCTTTCTCTCCAAGTGCTCGTGCCGG